AGGACCAATTTCATGGAGCTTGCCGAAACAGGAGCTGGTTGCCACCATGTCAACGGCCGAAGCGGAATTCAGCGCAGCAACAGTAGCAGTTCGCGAGGGCCTCTACTTGCAGGAACTCCTGCAGGAGGCGAAAATTCCAGCTTCGCCCACCTTTCGCCTGGCTGTACTGCGACAACCAGAGTGCAACCTGCATCGCAAACAAGCCTGCATTCGTCAACCGCACCAAGCACATTGCGCTGCGGTATTTCTTCGTCAAGGACGAAGTGGACAAGGGTAAGGTCGACTTGACGTATTACCCAACGGGTGACATGGCAGCAGATTTTCTTACGAAGCGACTGCCACGCCAGCAGTACCAGCACTGCTCCGAACTCAGTGGAGTGGTCAAACAGGTCCTTCGATCTATGGCCAGGAGTGAAGGGGGGTGTTACGAATAGTAATGAATTCGAAGCACGCAGTACCGAGGTTGAATTCGAAAAGGCGGGAGTGTCGCGAAAGGTCTTACGGTTACGAGATGATATGGACCGTCGGGCAGGTACCATCAGACAGCAGCAGTGGCGAGGATTCTGCCCCGACAGTTCCGTAACTGTCTGGAGTCGCACGGTTGTTTTTCACTGTGATAAGGAAATGTACCTTAGAGTACATGGCTAGCTAGTTCGTTTCGAATTCCCCTGTACTACTATTTATATTTGCTGTATTTGCATGTTTTAATCCATCTCAAGCATTTTACATTCACTCTGCTATTGAGGTCAAGGGCCCACCACTACTTCGATATGTTTCTATACTTCGTTTTCTTTTTCATTGAGTTGATACGGCTTTGCAGGATGCGGCAGGCAACAGGAGGAGAAACAAAATAGGGTACCGTAATCACCCGGACGTACCACCCTAGGGTGTTATGATAAGAACAGCAAAAAAAGGGTGGGCGGGGGGGGGGGGGGGGGGTACTCATCGGAAAAAGCTATATAACATCTGGGTCTCTCTATACGACATTCTTAAAGTGTAAGGATTTTGATACAAAGACAACTTGGGAGTTTTTATAATTGGTTTAACACCACAGTTAGAAGTGAGAATGTGGGTTTCGGCGTGAACCATTTTTGCCCCCCTTGAAATTGCCAGGTTTCACCTTTTTTGCCAGTTGTACTATCTACTGTCAGAATATGTTCTTGTGTAGCCTGCAGTGGGGTACTCAATAGTGAGTACAGCCCCTTAGGGTTTGCTATTTGTATCCTGCTGCTTGCTAGTTCAATCATTCCTTCCTCATTTCTGTTCGTGCACACAACTCTCGCTCGTACTTGGCGCCTCGTTCTAGTCTTCCTGTGGCCTAGGCTACTAAGCCTAGGCCCGACTACTTAGTATGTTTGACATGGTATCAGAGGGCGACGTGTCACTGCCGCCTTCCTGTATGGGCCCACCACCTGCTTCCGCTGCCGTACTGTCCGCCGCGCGCCCCGTGGAGCACGGCGCAGAAACCCTAATTTCTGCCCGCCGCGCGCTCGGGGCGTGTGGTGGTTTACCCTTCTGTGGCGCCCGTCGTGGTGCCCTTGGGGGGCATGCGCGGTCCCTTCCCGTCGCCCGTCGAGGCGCTCTCGGGGGCCCGCGCGGCCTCCCCTCCCGTCGCCCGTCGTGGCGCTCTCGGGGGCCCGCGCGGCCTCCCCTCCCGTCGCTCGTCGTGGCGACCACGGAGGCCCGCGCGCGGTCCCCTCTCGTCGCCCGTCGAGGCGCACTCGGGGGCCCGCGCGGCCTCCCATCCCGTCGCCTGTCGAGGCGCTCTCGGGGGCCCGCGCTGCCTCCCCTCCCGTCACCCGTCGTGGCGCCCACGGGGGCTCGCGCGCGGTCCCCTCCCGTCGCCCGTCGCGGCGGCTCTAGGGGCCCGCGCGGCGCCCTTCCCGTCGCCCGTCGCGGCGGCCCTGGGGGGCCGCGCGGCTCCCTTTCTCGTCGCCCGTCGGGGCGCCCTGGGGGCCGCGCTCCTACCGCCCCCCCCCCCCTCCCTCCTACCTTTCACCTGCAGCGGCCGCCCCTGGAGCTGCCCGCCACTGCAGCAGCCGCCCCTGGAGCAGCCCGCACCTGCAGCAGCCGCCCCTGGAGCAGCCCGCACCTGCAGCAGCCGCCCCTGGAGCAGCCCGTGCCTGCAGTAGTCGCCCCAAGACCCGCGCGAGCCGCCCCTCCAGCAGCCCGCGGCCCGTCCCTGCGTCCCGTCCCGTCCCCCCCCACCCCCCCCCCGGTCCCCCCCCCCCCCCCCTCCCCCCCGCGTGCTGCCCATTGCTTCCATTCCGCCGTGCGTTCCGCGGTGGTTGGGGTGTGGGCTGGCGAGCATGGGGGTGCGGGTGTGGGGGTGCTCCGTGTGCGTCGCCCCTTCCTTCTCCTCCTCCTTCGTCTCCCACTTCTGCAGCTGCTGCTGAGGGGGGTGGAGGTGTGGGAGCCGAAGGGAGTGGCGCTAGGGGTGCAGCAGGGGGTGTGTGTAAGGGGGGTGGGACTGTTTGGGGAGGTTGAACGGAGTCTGCCGTCTTGTCGTCCGCAGCACCTGTAGTCCGGGGCGCTGTCCTGGTAGCCCAGAGAGCCTGCTGCGCCTGTCGCCCGTGGGTCCGTTGCTTCTGCCGCTCAGAGTTAGCCGGAGAGCCAGTTACTCTCTGTAGTCCGGGGCGCTGTCCCGGTAGCCACTGTGCCAGCCGCTCCTGTTGCCCGTGTGTCTGCAGCTTCAGCCGTTGCCTCCCATCTCTCCTGTTACAGTCTCGCCTCCTCCTCCTCACTTGCCCTCTGTGACTGCCTCTAGCTTTGCTCATAATTGTGAACTACTGCTATGCCTGCTCATTGTGCTGATTACACCCCACTTTGGCTATGGGGGTGTGTCAGAATATGTTATTTGTGTAGCCTGCAGTGGGGTACTCAATAGTGAGTACAGCCCCTTAGGGTTTGCTATTTGTATCCTGCTGCTTGCTAGTTCACAAAATCATTCCTTCCTCATTTCTGTTCGTGCACACAACTCTCGCTCGTACTTGGCGCCTCGTTCTAGTCTTCCTGTGGCCTACGCTACTAAGCCTAGGCCCGACTACTTAATATGTTTGACATCTACCAGCGTGGCAGCAGCGTGAACGGGGGAGGGGGGTGATTTCGGCAGATCCTATCTAAAGAGTTCGCGAGAATGAGTGTATTGATGAGAGAAGTGGGTACAACTGCTAACCCTAATTTGGGTTGTACCCCTTATGGGCAAATCACAAGCAAATCACTACAGCCTACAAATCACAAGCATCATCATAGTTTGACACACCCCCATAGGCAAAGTGGGGGAGAACTAGTGGTCACAAGACCAGTCAAGAAAAGAAAAACAAGCTCAGGGTGGATCACGAAGTCACCACACATTCTAAGCACAAGCAAATGGCCAAAAGGCCAGTTCACATGCAGAGTTATATAAAATTGAGCAAACAGTACAGTGATCACTACCTAGCAAGAGTAAGCATGCAGGTATATATATAGATCACAGTACAAGCAAAGTCACGCAGTGAGCAAGTGAGACGAAGCAGGCACAAGGCCTAAAGCAGTACAGAAACGCTGATGATCACCAGGCAGAAGTGCCTTTGTGAAAATATTAGCAGTGTTGGCCCGAGTGGCCACGTAAGCAAGACGAAGCTGACCACGCTGCTGTAGCTCTCGAGCAAGGAAGTAACGCAGAGCGATGTGCTTCATTCTGTGCTCCAGTCTGTGCTCCTGAAACAAGGCAATAGCGGCCTTGTTGTCTATGTACAGAACTGGAGGAGAACGAGGCAGCTCTCCCAAGTCGGTCAGCAGGTAAGTGAGCCAGCGTAACTCCTGTGCAGCCATGGCTGTGGCGTAGATCTCAGCCTCACAAGTGGAGCTGAGAACAGAAGACGAGCGGGTAGACCGCCAAGAAACAGAGCCGCAGCCAAGGCTGAAAGTGTAACCCTGTGACGACCGCTGCGTAGCCAGGTCGTCAACCCAAGACGCGTCTGAGTGATCAGTGAGGACAACTGGACCCCTTCCTCCATGCACGAGCCCCATGCCAGATGTACTGCACAAGTAGCACAACACCCTCTTAGCAGCCTCCCAGTGCTCTCGTCGGTGTCTCCCGGGCGCAACGTAGCATGCCAGGATGCTAAGAGGGTAGGCAAGGTCAGGTCGAGTGCATGTCATCAGGTACATGAGGCAGCCCACAAGCTCTGGATATGGGCCAATCAACTCTACGGACTCGTCTAAAGGTGGAGCTGAGAGCAAGTGACCGGTAGGCAGAGGAGTGGACTGTGGCGAGGACCAAGTGAAGCCAAAGCGCTGAAGGACCTGCTGCACCATGTGTGACTAAGTCCACCATGTGTGACTGAGTCAGGGTGATGGTGCACCGTGCTCTGTCCCGGGTAATCTGCAAGCCAAGATAGCTGCGCAGCTCACCCAGTTCTGTGAACGTGTGTCTCTTATGCAGCTCCGACTTCACAAGGGCAAGTGCCTCAGTGTCAGCAGTGGCAAAAACCAAGTCGTCAACGTACACGAGGATGTAGAACGGCGGCAGCGAAGTGTCGGTGCGCAGAAACAGCGACGGATCAGCAGTCGAAGGAGCAAACCCAAGAGCCGCAAGTGTCGTCCTCAGTGTTTCGTGCCACTCACGAGGCGTCTGGCGGAGACCGTAGACTGGCCGCCGGAGGCTCCACTGGGTACCTGCAGGAAACGACCCAGTGAAGCCAGGTGGGCGGCACAGCCAGATCTCCTCGTGCAGGCTGCCCTGTAAGAAAGCTGTGCTGAAGTCAAGAGAGTGAAGCTTGTAGTCACGCTGAGCGGCAACGTGCAGCAGCACCCGAAGAAGTCAACTCACTGACGCTAACTAAAGTCTCGTGCAACGTAACTAGCCTTGTAGGCGGAGAACCCGGCGGCTGCTTCACCCTGAAAATCCACATGCCATCGACTATGTTCACCCCAGGAGGGGGAACTGCGTCAACGTAAGTGCCTGTGGACTTCCAGGATGCCATCTTTGCGTCCATGGCTGTCTGCCACTGAGAGGATTAGGGACCCGAAATCGCCTCTGCGTAAGAGCGCGGGTTCGGGATGTCTGGTGCATCCGGGTCTCCCTCAGGGGCAAGCAGCGTGGTCACGAGATGAGGTACAGCGGCTGCAAGACACTCAAAGTCCTCCTGCCTATCCTCAAGGACGTCCGTGCCAAGAGCACACTCACCCCCGACGGACGGAGGACAGACAGACTCAGACTCAGCAACAAGTCTAGAGGCGTAGTCGAGACGAGAAGCAGCAACAAAGTCAACAAGCTCAGCGACTAAGGCAGACGCAGCAGTGGACTCAAACCAGTGGACTAAGGGTCTGTGACAACAGTGGCTAGGAGACATGACAGAAGGGCTGGCAGCACAAACCAGGTCAGACTCAATGTCTGGAACGTGCGGAAGAGAGGACTCAGGAGGAGACGGCAGAGGGACACGCTGTGGAACAGAGGAAGGACGAAGTGTCATAGTGTGAGTACCAAGGACAGGAGAAGGACACTGACGAGGAACACGACGACCAGTGCGAACAGCGCGAACAGGCGAGGCAGGACGAGACGCAGGCTCACAACGCTCTGTAAGCGAGACTGTCTGCTTAATGTAAGGAGAAGGAGCAGGCAGTGGGGAGCCTGGCTGTAACGGGAGGCCAGTAGAAGACGGAAGGCTAAGAACCAAGTACTGAGTTAGGCGGTGGTAGAGACGACGGTGATGGTGGAGCGAAGAACAGTCACGGCTGTGCAGTACCACCAGCACCAGTACCACCAGCACCAGCACCTCCAGTACGAGTACCAGCAGCTCCAGCGCCTCCAGTATCTCCAGAACCTCCAGCGCCAGCGCCTCTAGCTCCAGCGCCTCCAGCTCCAGTACCTCCAGCTCCAGTGCCTCCAGCTCCAGTGTCTCCAGCTCCAGCGCCTCCAGCTCCAGTGCCTCCAGCGCCAGCGCCTCCAGCTCCAGAGCCCGCAGCACCACCAGCTCCGGCAGCTCCAGCACCTCCAGGGCGAGCACCTCCGGGACCAGCAGTGCCAGTACCACCAGCACCTCCAGCACCAGCAGCACCACCAGCTCCGGCAGCTCCAGTACCTCCACTACAAGCACTTCCAGGACTAGCATCTCCAGCTCCAGGGCTGCCAGCCCCAGCACCTCCAGCGCCAGCGCCTCCAGCTCCAGGGTCTCCAGGACTAGTAGCTCCAGCACCCCCAGTACGAGCACCTCTGGGACTAGCATTGCCAGCACCACCCACACCTCCAGCATCAGCAGCACCACCAGCCCCGGCAGCTCAAGTACATCCGGTACGAGCACACCCAGGACCAGCAGCTCCAGCTCCTCCGGTACCTCCAGCTCCAGCGTCTCCAGCCGCAATGCCTCTAGCTCCAGCAACGCCACTCTGAAGGCGGCAGTGCTGAGCGTACCACTCGCGCAGCTGCTGTGGTGAGAGAGCACCTCCAGTACCTCCAGTACAAGCACCTCCGGGACCAGCAGTGCCAGCACCACCAGCACCACCAGTACTGGCAGCACCACCAGCTCCGGCAGCTCCAGTACCTCCAGTACGAGCACCTCCAGGACTAACAGCTCCAGCTCCTCCAGTACCTCCAGCACCTCCAGCAGTACCTCCAGCACCTCCAGGACTAGCAGCTCCAGGGCCTCCCTCTCCAGCAGCGACACTCCGAAGGCGGAGCTGCTGAGCGTACCACTCGCGCGGCGAGAGAGGCTCCCGGAGTGGAGAAGCAGTACCCCTAGGCGCAGCACCCCCAGACTCAGCAACACTAGGCTCCGCACCCGCAGGCTCAGCACCCCCAGGCTCCGCACACTTAGGATCAGCAACCCCAGGCTCCACACGCTCAGGCTCAGCACCCCCAGGCTCAGCACCTCCAGGCTCAGCACCCCTAGGCTCCGCACGCTCAGGCTCAGCACCCCCAGACACAGCACAAGAGTCACCAGTAACCTCGACAGGCTCAACCAAGGGAAGGGGGTCTACCTGAGACACACCTGAAGGAGCAGGACCCTGAAGGGGGAGGGGGTCTACCGGAGGGGGACCTGGAGCGAGGAAGAGTGGCGGTGGGCGGGGGGGGGGGGGGGGGGGGGGCAGTGCGGCAGGGGAAGAGACGGTAAAAGGGAACCAACTCGTCTAACGTGATGTCCTGAGAGGACAGAACACGGCGCGAGGTGGGGTGGTAAAACTGCAAGCCAGGTGCCTCAGGGGGGAAGCCAAGAAAGACACAGGGAATGGCGTGGGAGGAGAGCTTGTCCGCAGAGGTATCGCGGACAAAGGCACGAGAGCCTCAGATCCGGAACACCGACGCATCACCAACCTTCTCCGTCCAACGCAGTGTGGGCGAGGTCTCCGGCATGGAGACACGGGGCCAGAGGTTGAGCTGATGCGCAGCGTAGCGGACCGCAAACGGCCACAGAAAATGGGGAGCGGCCGCATGGATCATGGAGGTACGAGCGACCTCCATGACTAAGCCAATGCGGCGCTCAGCAACCCCATTCTGTTGCGGAGAGGCCGGAAGTGTGAACGACTGGAGGATGCCCTCCTCTTGACAGAAGTCCCGCAAGAGGTCGGAGGAGAACTCACCACCTCTATCAGAGTGCAGACGCAAGACAGGAAGGTCCGTGCGGAACTGCTCGCGGAGCTGGAGATGGACAGCGCGGATCCAAGGGATCAAGACATCAGGGACCTCCCCCTTGCTGTGCAAGGGGAAGACCGTGGTGTAACGCGTATAGTCGTCGACAACCAGCAGGACATACCGCTCGTGGCCCTGTCCCTGGACGCGGGCTGGGCCCCACACGTCCATGTGGAGAGTCTGCAGGGGAGCCTCTGTGGGAGGGAACGAGGAGGAGTGAGGAGCGGCGCGCTGCCGCCCCTCGACACAAGGAAGGCAGGGCGGGGCAGGCGAGCGCGGGAGGGGGGGCAGAGACCTGGGAAGGCCAGAGACAAGGAGGCGGGAGTGCATGCTACGGAGGCGTGGCAGGGAGGGGTGACCAAGACGGTGGTGCCAGAGGACAGTCTGGTGTGAGAGGTGGCGACACGAGCAGGTGGCTGCTACGTAACTGGACGCGGACACCTGACCAGGCACAGCTACCTGAGGAGGCTCAGTCGTCAGTGTGTACAGGCTCGACCCAGGCCGACGGGTGAACGTGGCCAGGTGACGGCCCGCTCGTGCACACGTGCAGATCGCCACACGCTGTCCTCCAGGGGTAAAGGTATCAACCCAAGCATCCTGAAGGACGGCGTTACTCAGCAAGAGTTGAGCGAGGTCGGGGCAGTTCGTGCGGATGAGCTGCTCCATCGTCTGATTGGTCCGCTCGGTCTGGCCGTCGGTTTGCGGGTAGTAGGCCGATGAGAAGTGTAGCCAAGTGCCGTACTGCGCCCATGTCTCTTTCCAGAACTTTGATGTGAAGTTCGGTCCCCTGTCGCTAATGATTGCGGACGGGATGCCGTGCAGACAAACGACGGTCGAGATTAAGAAGCGCACAGTTTCTTCGGCTGTAATTGTTGTACGACACGGTGCAAAGTGTGAGGCGATCGACGACGAAAAGTACTGCATCGTTGCCGGACGCGCCAGTTGGAAGTCCCGTCACAAAACCCATTGTCACTTGTTGCCACAGTCGCTCGGGTGGCTCGAGGGGTTGCAGCAGGCCAGCCGGGCATTGACGTGTCAATTTCATTGCCTGGCACACTCTGCATAAAGACACATAACGCTACACGTCACAGTTAGAATCAGGCCAATAGTACTGAAGGTGCTGAATTTTCTGCGACTTGTCAACCCCAATATGTCAGGAGAGGTTCGAATCATGGACCTCCTAGGTAAGCATTTTATGCAACAAGCGGTAAGCGTGTCACAGGACCGAATCTCCACTCGAGAATGTTGCACTGAAGGTGAGTACAAGACGTATTCATACGCGGAAATACATAGGAACAACAGATAATCCGAACCTTTGAGAACACACTCTTCTTAGAGTGGATAGTCACAAGTGTGCATAAGCATGCAAGCTCATTGGCACATTGGATCATGGCAAGATCACGCCTTGTACACCACCGTCGGTGCTGTCGGTGCCGTATAACATTGTTGTCGGTGCCGAAAATACAAAATAAGTGAAATGATTGAAAATCTCTAGAAAATAGAATAGTTGTCCGATCGAGGTGAAGTGCAAATAATAGAGGAAAATAGGGAAAATAAGATAGAGTGAAAATAAGGAAGTGAGATTATGACGAACATTGATGTAACACCCTGCTTGACAAGGTAGTTTCGAAGAACGTTGGGCATTAGTCATGTCTTCTTCAGAGACCCAACTATCCTCGAAAGGATCATAGCCCTTCCAATGTATGAGAAACTCCACAGCACCATATTGACAACGACGATGCGCAAGCAGAGCTTCTACCTCATACTCGGGTTTATCATTGACAAGGACTGGAGGCAACGGTAGAGGTTTGCGTCCTATGTACAGCTTATTTGGGTCCCGAATCTTCACATAGAAGGCGTTATGAATCTTTTAAGTAGCTGGTAGGTGCAAGCGGAATGTAACTGGAGTGACCTGCTCTTCTACGAGGGAAGGCCCACAGAAGCGAGGTCGCAACTTGGATGGAAGGTGACCGAGGTTGAGGTTGCATGTCTTGAGAAGCACATGGCCACCAACCGCAATGGTATGATCACGCCGACGGCGATTGGCCGGGCGTTTCTGCGAAGACTGTATGTCCTGCAGATGCTTGTGTGTCCAATTCCAAAGCTGCTGTATTGTGGTACCGAATTTGTGTGCGGGCTCGACGGTTGCAGGTACTGTCGGCTGCTGTGGAGTTAGCGGGTGTCAACCGTAACAGAGGAAGAACGGGGTCTCTCCTGTTGCGGCATGCTTCGCATCGTTGTAAACACTAAACCCTAAACCCTAAACTCCAACACTGGCAAGTGCAAGTCCCACTTGCTGATGTCTTCGTTGCACGATGTGTGCACGAGTTGTTCCACAATCTGGTTCAAGCGCTCTGTCTACCTGTGAGGGTACGACAGCTTGTGCTGGCTTTGCTAGCTTGCCTGGACTTTATTATGCTACTTCAATGCATAGATATGCTTGATTTCCTAGGTTAGGTGCATTCCTATATTTTATTATAGTTATAGCACCGAACCAGGTTACGTGTACCAAACTCAAGCCTTGTCAGTTGCCACCGAATTGCTTTCTACCGAGTTCGGGAAGGTTCTGTTCGAGACACTTCGCGACCCTCAGAACATTCGCACAACACCTGGGTTACCTGCCTTGTGTCGAGCCTATATATAGCCTTGCCTTGTACCCAAGCGAATCATTCAATTACAACTCACTTTTCGGACATCAATCCTCGATCCTCACACTTGGTAATCAGAGCATGTTTACACGCGAAGTTTTCGAACGCTAAAACCTAGCTTTTAAAAACGCGGGGGCGACGACGAAAGTGCCGATTTCGGGTACGTAAACCAGTTCCGCGCTGTTTTTTAACGTCCCCCTCGAACCGGTTTTCGAATCCTCCTCGGTTTCAGTGGCGGAAAAAAATGGAATTTCGACCGTCGGATCGATTCGAACATCAACGGCCCGAGGAATTTCCCCCAAAAACGTTGGAATCTAGAGCGTCAGATCGAATTTCAGCTCAACGGCCGAGATAAGACGCGAATTTCGGTTAAGGGAGAATTACGCGACCAACAAAATCAGCGCTCGTCGTTTCTACAATCGATCCATTTCGCAGTAAGTCAACCATCGCCTAAAATTGAATTAATTCTGTCGCAATTCTTCCTGTAAATCGCCAAATGGAGGAAAATGGTGATAATTCCATACAAATAATTACGGAGTTACACACCAAACTGGACCAGATGGGACAGCAGTCCAGCGAGTAGAGGAGCTTCTCGCGAACCAGTCGGCAGCCGCCACGGCAGCAGCGAACGTAGAAATGAATGCAACAGCGACGGCTGCAGCAGCGGCGGCGACACCGACGCTTCAACCAGCAGCAACCACAGTGAATCTTGAGGCGGCACGTCCGAGGCTACGCGAGATGTTCAATCCAAATGCGAGAGACTCCGACGTTCGTCGATTCATTGCGACCCTCAAAATTTACTTCGAGGCCGTTGCCTGTACGAACCCGACACACAATGCGATGCATATTCGGCTCACAGCGACACTGTTACGAGGCCCAGCACTCGAGAAGATTTACAATAGTAATGAGATCCGAGGCGAGGAGTCAAGGACGCACTTTCGGGCAGCTTTAGTTCAACGTTTCGAACTGATCAATTCGAGCTACATGGCACAGCAGCAGATTCATCGGCATAAACAGTACGGCAGCGAAACACAGTACACGCACCAGATGGAGAGCCTTTTCAACCGGATTTCCGACCTGAATGGAGGGGAAAATCCAAGCGTATACTGAGGGGCTAATACTGGAAGTACGACGACAGGTGATCGCTGCGAACTATAGTAACTACCGCGACATGGTGTGTGCAGCGGATAGATTCGATGCGCTGACGCGAGGTCAACCCGAGACACAACCCCATGTGCTGAACAGGTTATTCGACACGAAGCGATCGGCACCACCAACGACAGCCAACACGATGGATATCGACAAGATCGACAAGAAGCAGCGGCCGACAAAATATGTGAAATGCGAATTTTGCAGCGCAGCATGACATCGACTCTTGGCGTGTTAGAATATGAAGAAGGCACGTGCAGAGCTGCAGGGCAACGACAGTGCGGCACCCCCGAAGTAAAAAAATGAGCATCGCCAGTAGTCGCGGATCGACGTGGCGATCACGAAAAGATCAGGAAAAGGCGAAAAGGCGACGATGTGGCGATTTCAGAGCGGGCGAAAAAAGGAGAAAGTGATGGCGCGAATATAATACGTCACCGACTAGGAAACTCCCACCGAACACCCACGAAAGTAAGAGTTTGTTAAAGGTGTCCTACAAAGATACTTTAGCTAAGAATATTACTTCTCGTGATTTTCAAGCCTTTGAAAATTTCAGGGGAGAATTAGAGGCTAAGAAAGAGCCTTCAAAAATCATTCAGGTACCAAAGAGATTGGGCAAACCACTCCGGAGCGTTGAAAAGGGTCGTGCATTCCGAGGAGTTAATATTCTCTCTCCGCAGCACAGTGTTAAGGCTTCCCAATGCCCACAGGTGAAGCCTACACAGCTGCAAAGGCTTAGGGGAAGGTTCCAGGCCAAGACGAAGCTGAATCAGCCTCGGATAAATCCTTCTAACCCTGCTCAGTTGAAAACTGATATGGAGTCAGCAGCTTCTAGGCATGATCGATTTGACGTACCCTATAATTCTATAAGCGAGACCATCTACGGCTACTCGGAACGGTAACAACCACTACTTCTCGAGGTGATCTGCAACGGGCGACGCCTCCAGGCGATGGTGGACAATGGTGCATCTCACTCGGTGTATGACCGCGGGACGTTGGACAAAATTGGAGAGAAAACGGGGGAGACCCGATTCTCAGCAACGATGGTGGACGGTACAAAGCTTCCCATCCACGGCGAAGCATCACTGCAGCTGCATATAGGTGCGTTGAGATGGAAGCCGAGGCTACCAGACACCAACATCAAGGGTTAAGATTTAATCTTCGGCCGAGATTTCCTAAAGCAGTTTAACCCCGAGATCGACTGGGTCAATCGGAAGGCGTGCATCTACAACAACGGGAAACGAGTGGAGCTGAGAAGCTGGATCTAAACCCTACAACAGGGGACGTTGCTGAAACGACGCTGGCACGATTCAAACGGACGGTCGGATAACACGGGTTACTTAGCACTGGTCATGGCACCAGGAGAGGAGGAGAAGC